ACCCTAAACCCTAAACCCCAATTAAGAGTTTGGCGTTTGAGTCTCGCCGTCTCACCTTCGTAGGTCGCCCCAGTGTTACTGGAAGCGGCAGCTCCTGCAGGGAAGACCCCTAATGCTGAATAGAGTCAGGGTTTAGGGTTTAGGGAGTCTGGGGGCATGTTGTAGTATAGCTATACTAAGGAAACCTCCCTAAGGAACAATACTTCACAACTAGAGCAGGAGTCATTTGGAGTTATGTGGTATAGAGTCGCAGACTTCTTATAGTCGCACACTTCTACGTATATCCGATCCCTTGACAGACTGGGAAAGACCAGGGCTTCTGGGTTTGGGTTGGGTTCAAGGGGGTTTCGGCTCCGGGTTGAGGGTTTGCGGTTTAGTAAGGGTTGATTTATGGTTTAGAGGGAAATGCGAAGGCTTTGACAGTTGATACAGTAGCATGGGTAGTTCTCTAAACTAGGGNNAAAGACCCTAGAAGGGACCCTAATTTACAAAACTACCCGCATTGTCAGTCTGTACGTGCAGCAAAAACCGGGTGCATATCAATAGCCAGCTTTGTTAGTTCAGACCCCAAAGTCAGAGACAATCCCATGTGGCGTTAACGGCATTGAGTAAAGAAGGCACTTAGGGACCCTAGTGTGGACCATAAAAAAACCTTCCATAAAGACCCCGAAGCCAGAAATGCCTAAGTTTAGAGGAACCCCGTCTTCACCGTAAGCCCTCAACCCCACAAGGCCCTATGTTGATCACAGTGTGAGGCTCGCCCTGATAGGAGCAAGTCCACTGAGGCCGGTTGATTGGATAGCTTAGGGGGGCGACTACTTAACAACAATGATAAAGAAAAAGAATTTCAGCAGGCATATTCCTTATCATTAAGGTCTATAGAAAGATCTGGGAAAACCAAGCCGAAGCAGTCTCCTCGGATGGAACGACTTGCAAATCTCCAGGGGGTGCGGGTGGCTGCGACATGCCAGCTCCGCACATAATTCCGCCGCAGCCAACTGGGCGGCCCTATGTCCTAGACACTAAACCCCAACTTCTGCTTCGGGCCTACATCAAGCCTGCTCCCACGAAATGGGCTTTCTTAGCCCCTACACCTAAACCCTACACCCTAAACCCTATAAGCCCTATAAGCCCTATAAACCCTATAAACCCTAAACCCTCTGAAGCTGTGTGCGATGCCGACCCCTATTCTGCCTCCAAGGCCCTTGGTTGGGGCTCGAGCCAGTACGGATTTAGGATTTAGGGATTGGGGTTCAGGGCTCAGGGATTAGAGCTTTGGGTTTGCAGTTTTGGGTTTAGGGATTAGAGTTGAGGGTTGGGGGTTTTGGGCGCCAACCCTCAACATGATACGAACCCGGAAAACCCTGTACTAATCTAAAGCCCTTCATCGTTGGATCCTTACTGCCAATCCAAAAAGTGACCTTGCATTCGCGGAAGCCCCGCTAAACAGACCGTAAGAGCACCCCTAAACCTTAAACCCTAAACCCTAAACCCTAAACCCCAAACCCGAAACCCTAAACCCTAAACCCTAAACCCTAAACAAGTTTATGAGGACATGAGGCCTATGTGGCAGACAGTGGGGCTTCCCTAAACCCTACGGCTTTAGGGCTTTAGGGCTTTAGGGTTTAGGGTTTAGGGTTTCCTTTAGGGCTTTAGGGCTTTGGGGCTTTAGGGTTTAGGGTTTCCTTTAGGGCTTTAGGGCTTTGGGGCTTTAGGGCCTTGGGGTTTAGGGTGAGCGCCACCCGAAACTTGGAGAAGCCGTGTCAAGTACAAATTGCTTAGGCTGTTTGGGGCTTGGGTTTAGGGTTTACGGTTTAGGGCTTAGGGTTTAGGGTAAAAGCCGATAAACAATGCGATGAAACCCTCTGAAGACTCGACGAGGGTAGGGTCCGGTAGGGTTTGGGGGGTTAAGGGTTTACGGTTGAGGGTTTAGGGTTTAGGGTTTGGAGTTTAGAGTTTAAGGCAAAGTTTAGGGTTTAGGGTTTCGGGTCAAGAAGATTAGGACGAAGGGCTTTGGGCTCGAAGTTAGGAACCAGGATTGAGGGTTTAAGGCTTAGGGAAATGTAGGACTTTGACTAAGGGCTGAGGGTTGTTAGGCTAGGAACTGACAGGGTTTCGGAAGTTTCGGACTTAGGGCAGCTCAACCCCGAAAGGGGGTTTAGGGGGTTACCCACTAGGGTTTAGGGTTTCCTACCCTCAGAGCTTCTGAGCCCTCATCTTCAGACCACGCCGTAGCAGAAGCAACCCTTAGGGTTTAGGGTTTAGGGTTTAGGGTTTAGGGTTTAGCCGCTAGGCTTGAACCCTAAACCCCCCTCCCTGCCCTGAAGCCCAGCTAAACCTCCAGCCCTGAACCCCACAGAACCCCAAAACCTGAACCCTAAACACCCAAACAAATGAACCCTAAAGGCCCCGGAACCTGAACACACCATCAGCACCCCAAACCCTCTGCAAGACACCCCAGCAAGGCACCTTGGCGTTCTCCCGTTCCACCCGTCGCTGGTCGTTGGCATCCCGGTGCGCGGCATAGCGGCGGTCCGCCTCTTCGATGCGCTTCAGAACATCCTCGGCTCATCGCGACATGATTGTCAAGAAACCTTCACAAATTCGCATTTATCTTAGAAGCACCCGTAAAACCCTACAAAAGCCTGCGAAAGCCGCTCTAAGCACCCATGAAACCCTGCAGAAGCCTAAACGCCAAACCCTAGAGCCTTTGCTTTACGGTGTCGAAGGATCCGTCGGCCAGCCTTGGCGGCTCCTCTCCAGGAGCTCCTCTCGGAAAGTGTGATAGGGGTTTTGCGGGTAGGGCTAAGGGTTTGGGTCGGCTGTTGGAATTTCCGGAGGTTTAAAATTGACAACTTGTTCGGATGTTTATGGAGGCTCCATAAGAGGGTTTGTGTACTGTTCTTGTGGGTTTTTGTCAAGGAATGTACTTGTATCAGATTATGGGTTCTTCCATCCACGCTTTCAAGCAGTTTTGGCTTCTCTGGGTACGGGGTGATGATACGGGGCGGAACTAAAAGGCTTTTTGTGATTGCGGTCACAGCCTTATCAAATGACAATTCACTAGCCGCTAACTAGCCTAGGTATTCATTGCAGAGCCACTCTCGGCTGTGATGTTGGTTCACCTCCGTACCTCACGACGAAACTCTGAAGGGCTGCGGCCTCGAAACCCAAACCCAAAGCCCTAAATCCCAAAACCCTTACATCCCCAACCCGAACCCTAGACCCTAACCCCCAAAACCACACCAAAGCCCCTACACCCAAAACCTTCAACGCCTTTTGTAAGCCCCCATAGAACCCTATGAAACCGAAAGCCCTCGTCCACTGAGACTCCAAAACCTCTTATGATGAAGGAACCTAACTTGTTCATTATGTAATAATGACAAGAGTAACAAGGATACCAATAATGACGAAGTTGAAATAAAAGACACTAACAGTTAATAGTAATCCAAATACTACTGACTACTGAATACCAGTACCAGTTATTCGGGGAGTCTCTGGGTCCTAAACAACTACACCCTAAATCCCTAAACCCCCAAACCCTTCACCCCTAAACCCCTAAACCCCTAAACCCTACACCCCTAAACCCTAAAGCCCTAAACCCTACACCCCTAAACCCCTAAATCCTAAGCCGTTGTTCAGGGTGTAGGGAGTTTGGGTCTTCGGGGTGAGGATCTGACGTTCAGGGTTTCGGGAGTTTAGGTTTAGGCTCGGAGTTTTGGTTTTGGTTTAGGGTTTAGGGTTTAGGATTTAGGGTTTAGGGTTTAGGGCCTAGGGTTTAGGGTTTAGGGTTTCGGTTCAGGATGTAGGATTCAAGAGGGTTTCCTGATGCCCTCGCCCGAAGCCCGAAAGCTGTCTTCGGACCCCCTAAACCCTAAACCCTAAACGCTAAACCCTAAACGCTAAACCCTAGACCCTAAACCCTAAACCCACCCCCGCTGCCACCAGACCCTAAACCCTTCAGTCCCATCCCCGGCAAGCCTGAACCCCAAGCCCGAAACCTACAGAGCCAATGAGACTTTAGAAGCCTGAATACTTCGTAGCAGTTTTCGGGTTTAGGGTTTAGGTTTCAGGGTTTTGGGTTCATAACCGTACTATAATATACCTCAGAACCCCAATGTAGTTCTTATAAGGCTTCTATATTGCTCTGAGTCGTCGAGGAGGCAGATGAGGATGAGCACGCGCTGCTAAGTCCAGAGGACTGTGCTTTTGGGTAATTCGGGTTTAGGGTTTAGGCTTAGGGTTTAGGGTCTGGGCTGGGGGCAGTTTAAAGTTTAGCGGCTTATGGGTTTGATTCAGGGTTTAGGGTGTAATTAGCTTGCAAGTCCCAAGTCCGAAGCCACTTAGTTTGGGAATTTCCTCAAGCCAATGCAAGAAGTCCTAAAGCTTCCCGGACCCAAACCCTAAATCCTGGACCCTATATATATATATATATGTGTGTGTGTGTATACATGTGTATGTATATATATATATATACACACGTACAAATACATACACATACACACGTATGTATATGTATGCAACAATTTGAGAGAGAGAGAGAGAGATAAACACCCCAACCCCTCAACCCTAATAAGCGCCCGAAAGCAAGAGGAGATCCTGGAGCGGGAGAGGAAGAAGGATCCTACAGCCAGGCAGGGAGGTTCGGGTTTTCGGGTATATGGGGTTTGCGGTTTAGTGTGTAAGGTTTAGGGTTGATAGGGTGTAGGGTTTAGGGTTTGCAGGTTGGATGGCGGGTGTGGGGGGGGGGGAGTGATACGGAGGATTTCCATCATCCTAAAACCGAAGCGCCAAACTCTAAAGCCTGAATCCTAAACCCTGAGGTGAACCACGGATGATAGCGCGTGCAGGTTCGAGTCCTCAAGTCAGGGTGTGAGGGCGTAGAGCTTTCTGGTTGTGGGCTCAGGGTATAGACTTAACTACACACTAAGCCTTAATTTCATGATTTCATTATTATTTATGCCCTACACATCCCTGCATCCGAAGCCCCAAAGCCCCAAACCCCATGCAAACCCTAAGCCCTAGTTGTACCGGACCCCAGCCGCACCAGGTACATCAAAGTCTCTGCGCAATACGAAGAGGCGGCCAAGACGTTGAAGGCCGTCATCAAACCCTTGGCACCCCTACACTCAAGACTCCTCCAAACCGAAAACCCAAACCCTAAACCCTAAGCCCCACAGCCCGAAATCGACTGATGTCAGATCCCTGCTTAGGTGTTCGGTTTGGGATTTGTGGGTCAGCTGGGGCTTGGGGATTGAAACCTCGCCTCCGCACTCTCCCGACTCCCTCAACAGCCTCTGTGTGTGTGCAGGGTTGGGAAGTTGATCCATCCCTTGGGGGCAGGATGTTATTCGCGTTGATGAATCAGTGTAGAGCCTTATAATACCTCCAGCCACACTCGCAGTGGGAAGTGTGGGGGGGGGAGGGGGGCGGTTCTAGGTTTAGGGTTTGCGCGTTAGGGTTTAGGCCTTGGAGTTAACCCTGAACCCTAAACTTTAAACGCTAAACCCTAGACCCTAAACCCTCAACTCTAAACGCTAAACCCCAAACCCTAAACCCTAAACTTCAAACGCTACACCCCAAACCCTAAACCCTAAGCTTTAAACGCTAAACCCTGAAACGTTTTGCAGTTTAGGGGTTGAGGTGGTTTAGTCTAGGACATTTTGAGGTGGGTAGTTACTGTTATAGGAGCCTAAAGAAGGTCTATATACCTTATGGCAGCCTTAGAGAAGCCCTATATACCCTAAACTCCCCACCTGTCGTTACCTTTAATTTAGG